TGTGATCTCCCTGCCTCAGCCTCCAGAGTAGCCTGACTTATCTTTAAAGTTTAGACTATACCCAGCAAAGCCTTTCAAAGAAGGCCTCCTGGTCTAAGCTAAAGTCCCCTCTTATTCTCCATGGTACCAGTTATAACAACTATAATTTTTCTTTTGCCATAACTTTTTTTTTTTAACCCAGGGATGCTCTATCACTGATCTATACCTCCAGTCCTTTATAAAAATATTTTAAAATTTAAGACAGGAACTTGCTAAGTTGCCCAGTCTGGCCTCAAACTTGAAAAACCTCCTGCCTCAGCCTCCCAAGTAACTGGGATTATAGAAGTGCACCATGACCTTGGCTGATTTTGCCATATTTTTTTCTAAATGCCCGTTTCCCTTGCAGCTGGCAGTCCCGCTGCAGGATAAGGAATAGCTATGCCTGCTTTGATTCACTGTTGTGTCTGCTGCATCCAGCATAGTGACTCACTCTGTGCTACACGGCTGACTGATTGACTGAATAAATGAATGAATGAATGAGTATCCAGGAGGTGGAGCATGGAGGAACTAGCATGGAAGAGGAGATGATTAGGTTTGGGACCTGCCAGGGTCATGGGTCTGGGATCAATGAGTTCAGACCTGCCTTCCCTTGCAGTTCAGATCATTCAGGTCTCCTTTTCCCTACTGAAGGTTATTGATGCATCCCCCCTCCATCTAAATATCCCCTCACCTGGATTTCTGCCTGGGAAGAAGGGCTTCCCATGGCCATCCTGCCTGCTTTTCCCATTCCACTCTTCATTCCTCCACTGTTTCTCCAGAAGGTTTCCCACCACACCCTCCACTGATGTAAACTGTGTAGTCATGTGATTCCATAAACCTAATGTGCACTTCTGCTCAGGCAGTGAAGTGTTTGGAGCTTGGTATGGGCCTTGAGAGATAGAGGACGAACCTCCCCCACCCTATCCTGCCTTCTCCCACAGCCTCAAAGCACAAATTGCTTGCCCTATCTGCAGTAAGGAAGGGCATACTGTAACCCAAAGCAAATAGGCACCCTGGGAAAACATCAAGAAAAGTCTTTCCATGTTGCAAAGACAAGCTGCCTCTCCTGTTGCCCCCATGTGCCCATAGAGGCCATTTATTCGGTTTCCCTTTCACCCTTTTATATGCCCTGTCATCACCTGCTTTCCTGTCCCAGGCTGTGAGATGGCACGGGGTTTATCTTTCTACCAAATGGAGGCACACCCACACCAAAAGAAAATGGGAGGTGCCTCCCCAGGTTTTGCTGCCCACTTCCCAGTTTTAGAGATCTCAAACAGCATAAAACTGAAAGACCTAAAAAGTATAAAGGACAAACTGTTTATGAACTTTTTTCTATGTTTATACTTTTTTTCTATGTTTATACTTTTTTCCTATGTTTATACTTTTTTCTATGCATAGAGGGGAAAACCTGGCATGTGTAGTCAAACAGGGATTTAGTATTTGAGACAATGGAAAAGAATAAACAGTTACCAAATAATAATAGCTACTATTAAGCAGGCCCAAGCTTGAGGAACACTTTGAAGAGTGATTGATACACAATATTGCATTTAATTTCAAAATAACCCAGCGAGGGAAGCATTTACATGTCCATGTTACAGATGAAGACAGAGGCTCACGGAATCACACAGCTCATGCGTGGCCAAGCTCCAAGCCTGAGATCCTGATGCCCTTGCTCTGCACCAGTACTAGAAACTGCTCTCCCAGGGCTAGCAGTGAAAAAGGAAAGGAAATTGGTTTATGGCATGGCAGAGGGCTCAAGATTAGACATAAAGAACTTTCTGACAATGAGGGCTGTTTGGTTGTAGTCAGGGTAATTAGGCTTGTTAGAGCTTTCCCTCCAAGGGCCTTTACATGCAAGATGAATGGATGCTTCTATGCCTGGGTGGTTTAAGGGAAGCACTCTCTGTTCCCAGCACGGGGCTAGCCTGTTTGAACTAACAGCCTCACTGGGGATACAAGATTGCCACACATGAAACCGTTAGATAACAGGAAAAGATAGCACAGGATGTGTGCCCAAAATGGACTGGAAGAAAGCAAGGGTTACAGACAGGCAGAAGCTACTGTGGTTAAAAGCAAAGGCTTTGTGGTCAGGCAGACTCCCTGGCAAACACAGCTGGTTCTGCTACCTGTGTGACCTTGGGTATGTTACTCAACCTCTCTAAGCTTTGGCTTCTTAGTCATTAAAATGAGGCTAAGAATAAAACCTTTTGGGGAGGGGGGGTTGCTAGGAAAATTAAATAAGATGACCCACGTAAAAGATCTGGCACAGAACCTGGACATAAGAGAATTAGTAGTAGCTGTTATAATAATTACTATTATTGTTGGAGTCCAGAGGCAGGAGAGAGCAGAGTGGTTTAGAGTTATAGATCAGTTGGTAGTTGAGAAAGTCTTGCTGGGAAACTTGAGTTCTGATCCGAATTTTGAGGACTTACACTAAGTTAAAAGGAAGGAAGAGTGACAGAAGTAGATGGGACTCATGGAATGGAGATTTCATTGTTCACTATCATTCTAAAAGAAAAATTCAACTGGGCACAGTTGTACACACCTATAAATCCCAGCAATTCAGGAGGCTGAGGGAAGAGGATGGCAATTTGAGGCCAGCCTCAGTAACTTAGCAAGGCTCTCAGCATCTTAATGAGATCCTGTCTCAAAATAAAAACCAAAAAGGACTGGGGATGTAGCTTAGCGGTAAAGTGCCCATGGGTTCAGTCCCCAAAACCAAACAAGAAGAAAGAAAGAAAAGGAAAAAAATGAAGAAAATTCTGTTTTGATCTGTGGTTGAAGTAGAGAAAGAAGTTGATTATGGGCAAGAGGTTGAAGAAGAGGTGAGGTCTTCCACACTTTTTTCCAAAGTAAAGTTTGAATAGAGACAAAGCCTCAGAGACCTAAAAATGAAAGTGGACATCCAGAGTTCTTTGGCTACTTCTCTGGGCTCTTGGGGAGGTCAGGGACCTGGAAACGTGGCTGAGAACAGAGCTGGTGATGGTGGGTGGGATAGGACCTGAAACGGGAAGTTAGAAAATAAGGGTGAGGCCCTTAATGACTGTGTGGCTGACTCAGGAGGGAAGACCTAGCTTTAAGGCAGTGTTGACATCTAGCATCCAGTCAGACGGAGGCCAGTTTTGAGACCCTGAGCATCTCTCATCTTCAGTACTGTCAGCTCAGGGTGGGACTCCCTAGAGGAGCAGTCTGCCTCATCTCCCCAAGGTGAAGATCAAGTGCTAAAGGGCCAGGTGGCTTCCCAGGAAAGATGCTGTGCATTTTAAATCCTTTATGTTTAACCTTCTGTCAAGTGCCAACTGTCACTCTTGATATAATCAAGTATCATATGGGCCCTTGTCAACAATGCTGATTTTCTGTTCTTTTCCCTAGGGTTTCAGTCCATAAGTGTAAATACCCAAGAATGGGTTTTTAACAAGCATCCAAGTGACTCTTGAGGTAAGACAAATTTGGAAAACCATGAATTAGGTATAATCTCAAATCCCCTTCAGTCCTAAATTTAGGCAACAGAGTGTAACAGGAAGGGCTCTGCCTTGGAAGTAAGAAGTGGACTCTGGCAGCCCACAGGGCACTGAGTGGGGACACCCTAGGAGGGAAGAAGGCTGCCATCAATATTCCAGAGAAAACAGGGGATCTAGCACAAACAAGTGAAAATGAGTATATGGGAACAATAGGTTCTGAACATCCCCCTGGTGCTCTGCAGGGGGCTGGCAGTACCGCAGCAACCCAATATTCACAGGGGGATACGGAGGTGCAAAGTACATTTAAAACATGCCCAAATGACACAGTTAAGCAGAGACAGCCATTTCCAGATCTCCCCCGGCCAGCTCACTGGTGGGGTGCATGGCAGGGCAGGCATATCTTCTCACGGCTTGTGGGTGAGTTCCTGATGTGAAGCGCCAGTGTCCAGTGTCTCCAGTGACTTGAAATCTAACATTTCCTTGGATGAGCTCCATCTGTTACCTGGAAAGAGCAAGGACTCCGAGGAAGTGGGCTGGACCTAGGAAAGGCCATGAACTGGGGAGATGAGGGAGACTGGACTGAAAAAGAAAGCTGAACAGGGATTCACAAAATATGGGCGTTTTGAGGGTCTCTTCTACTCGGTAGCCTCTCTTTATCTCGCACCTGACCTGAGTCAAGGCTGGGCAAGAATCCCTGCTTCACGCTAGACCTAGGGCAGGAAAAAGGCGGAGTGAGACATGAGGTATGATTTTGCAGACTCTTTTGAGAAACTCGCTGTGTCAGAAAAACTAAAGGACCAAACAAAACCCCTAAAAATCCAAGCCCGATTATTTCATCCACGTGGCACAAGAACGAGCCAAAAAAAAAAAAAAGAGGGGCGGGGGAAGAGCCTCCCGTCCCGCCCCTGCTGGGAGGAAGGGATTTGCTGCTAGGGCAGACTCCTGACACAGCCGGGGCTCGGCGGGAGGGACACTGAGCGAGCCCTTTCCCACAAAGCCGCTGGCGGCGGTCCCCTCTCCCCGCCCCCTCCCCCGGGCCGCCGCGGGCCCTTTAAGGGCCGAGAGGTGCGCGGTCTC